AAATGAGTAGTTTGCGAGAAAATAATTTTGAGCGGCTAGCATCCTGAAATCACACACTGTGCGGCGTCTACGGCTTCGACCCTGCCCGCCTCCGCCATCGCCCGCACCGTCAGCACCTTCTCGCCCGCCGTGCGCGTCTTCGGGGAGCACGTCGCCGGCATCTAGGCCTCCGACACAGAAAATGTTTGTCTTCTTTTATCGCCGTCTGTGCTCCGGTGTCGGGCTCTTACAGTCGTCGCTGTAGCAAACAGCGTCTTCTGTAAGACGCACAAGCATTCTATATAATAATCGTTCGTCAACCGATTGTGTCGAGCCAACTCTGGACATCCGGTACAAACTACTGTACATCTCGCTAGATCGCGGAGTGGCACGCGGGGTGGGTTTCCCGAGTGTGGCTTGTTTAAAGTCGAGGCCAACGGACGCATGGGGATGACCCGCCTTCAAAAGCTGACATCATTGGGGTGTAAGGGGTGACTCGATTTTACTTCGTCTTTGGAGGGGGGAATGGCGAATGAGATTCTGAACATACGTGCTATATGGTCATTACGTGCATAAATAGAGCGGAGGAGGATGGGTGAGAGCGAACATTCTTATAGAGAGGGGAGGATCTAAGCATGACGGAAGTAGAGCTACTGTGTTCTGCGGCTGACCCTCTCCGCCGTTCTACTCTTGCTGCTGCTGGCTTTAACCTTTGGTAGACTCGCAGGTCGACTCCGAAGGGAGATCGACCTTGCCGTACGCCGACATGCTCTCACGTCTGCCAGTTTCAGAGGCGAGGCAGCTCGGCCTGTCTTTGTCGTTCGATTGTAGCATTTCGGCGGTGCATTGTGGGGGTTGGAGGATGACGCAACGGGTGAGGGGTGGAGGGAGCAAGCCTTTCGAGGGGGTGGTGTGTGAGTTTGTGTTGCAGTACCGCCTGTGGCGCAAGACGCGTTCGGAGACGCAGCGCTGCCTGCTGTCCGACCGCTACCAGGGCGTCGACGCCAACCGCAACTTCGACTTCCACTGGATGGGTGAGTGGCTCAATCGCTCTCTCGCTCTCTCTCTCTCTCTCTCTCTCTCTCTCTCTCTCTCTCTCTCTCTCCCTCTCTCTCTCTCTCTCCCTCTCTCTCTTTCTGACGACACGAGCCTCGGCGGTGAAGGGATTTTCCATACTAGCTTCATAGCTACGACGAATTCGGCCGCTGTCTGGGGGGGGGTCTAGTGGCCGGATGCTCTGATTGCTAGTTCTCCACGGTTTCTCCGATCAGCACCAGGTCAATCCCGCAGCAGAACCCTAACAAACGGCCGTTGAGCCGCACACGCTCGTTCGTTCCTCTCCCTTTCCTACCCTCACCCCTTACGCACACACACACGCGCGCGTAATCCTGCTCACTACCTCTCATGACGGGAGACCATTCAGGAGCTCAGGGCTTGTTTTAGCCTGGGCCGTGCTAATGCAGTGGAGGATGCTAGGTTGGGAAAACCCACTAGCCGACGTGTAGGTCGGCGCCTTCTGGTCGGATACCATGATCCAGAAGAGGAACACCATTTGTCCACCTTGAAAATACACAAGCAGTAATAAATTGCTTTATCATTTGTCCTTTTTCCTAATTTTATTGACTAATCAGCACTGCTTTACGTTGAAATCCGCCGCAAAGATTGGCGCCAGCAGCAGGCCGTGCTCTGAGACCTACGCCGGGTCCCAGGGCTTTTCGGAACCGGAAACCGCCGCCCTGCGAGACTACGTGCTCGCCAACAACAAGAATATCAAGCTCTACCTCACCTTCCACTCCTATGGCAACGTGAGTATCCACAGCTCGCAGCCTGAAACAAGAGGTGGCGTACCCTCTTTCCATGAAACTTGTTTACTTACATACGACGTATTTTACTAGTAATTAAATAAAAAAACACTACAAGTGCAATGAAACTACAAGTTTAATGATACAATTAATAAACACAATTCATTTGTTGGGTACAATTAATGTGTTATGTTGAACTATTCAGAGGGTTGGAGACCCTCTTCCGAAAAAGTCACTTTTAGGTTTAAAATTCCATCAGCGTCGTCAATAAAGTTGTTATTGTATAAAAATGTTTTTATCTATTTAGGAACCAAGTACATTCAAGCTATGGTAGTGTGATGTATGGGAACACGCCAGCAAATACTTACACGAGCTCAGATATTTACAGGTTTATTATAAATAAGTATTTATAAACAAATAGTTTAAACAGTTATTTACAGCTCTGATAAACCTGTTCCCCTGATCGCAGGAGCGATCCTTATCGGATTGAAAATCGGCCTGACTCGTGTTCCTCTCCACTCCTCAATGAAAGCACGCTCACGGCGTCAACTCTGTGCCCGAAGTCGCACGTGGCGCATTTGTTCCACAGTGGCTCCCCAACGCATGAGTCACCCCACGAGCACAGCTCGCCCCCGCCCCGCCCCGACTGCGTTTTGTGCGTTCGCGCGAGGCTTCCACACAGCTCAAAGCGCACTGATAAACGACCCTTAAGAGAAATGCCACGTCTCGTTTTCGTTTTACTATCGATTCACTATCCACATTTGATGCGATGTCATTGTACGTCCGACCAAGATATTTGGTAAAACCAATGCGCTCGGGGTTCCGGGGAAAACAAAGCTACAAGTTTCTGGCTTTATTGCGCGCAATACCTCTTCCAACACCGGAAGGAAGTATTTTCCAGAGAACCTCACAAGGGAGTCCTCAACGCCATGTAAAATTTTTTTGTAATTCAGAACTAAGCTCACTCGTCTGAAAAGTAGACTTTTGTGGCTATCCAAGAAAGAGGAGAGATTTTTCCTAGTAAAGAACAGTCCAAACCAAAAGTTTGTTCACTTGAACAAAGGGCAGAAGTCTCAATTACGTTAGTAATGTTTAAAACTGATTTAATTGTTCACTGTGTGAACTTCTTTGTCTTCAGAGCATCTTAATACGTCGAAATTAGTGTAATTTAATAATCTGAGATGGTTTTAACCAATTTTTAATGTGGTTTTTCATTGCTTTTAGGACTTTTTAAAAACATTTTAAAAGAATTTTATTGACAATTTTTGGAGGTGTTTAAGAATATCAACACTCGTCCCCTAGTGGTAACATTTAACTCCAGAACGCTTATTGAGTCAGTAATGGACATATTTAAATATTAGTGCATATCACTGTTCAAAATATTTCTAAATGTATATTTTCGCTTAACAAGGCAAACAATGTTCGAAAATTCAATATTAACATTACGGCAATGCATAGATAATAAGCTGCTCAAATTACACTAACGGACACTACGCCTATATCTGACCTGCAGGTCAAAAATATTTACAGTTATGGGCACTACCTGTTTTGGCTTATGGTCTGCTCTGAGAAGGTGAAAACATAGATTATATACCTGGCTACACCATGCATTGAGCGAATTGCAAATTTAAACAGGCGCATTCTTTTAAATCCTTAATAACTCGACACACATTTGCTAACGAATACACAAAGTTTCGATGCATAGACGACAGGTGGAGCGCACCACTAACTTTTCAAGTGTACCTACGCTCACTACGAGAGCACATTAAATTCGTATTCTGGGGTTTCAAACTGAAAGACACAGAGATTACGTATAGTAGGCCTTTCACTGTTTAAAAATCTTATTTTTACACCCATTACAGTTGCTGTGCCCATCACTATACTGGTGCCCACGACTGTACCGGATACCCTAAATGTAATACAAAGGAAAAAAGTGAACAAAATTGAGTATCATAAGTTTGTTGGAACTGTTATTACGATAATTTGATATCACCATCGTAGGCGGCATTGCCATACAATGCAACGACTGAAATTCTCGGAATAACTTCACAAATATCCTTGTTGGAGGGCGCCATGGCTGAGTCAGCGGAGAGATTATGAGCTTTATTTACGTAACGTTAATGTCACACAGTCATTCAATGAAATAATACATTCAACTTTATTAAAGTCGGGAAGAATACAGATATGCATTAGATGGACATTAGGCAATGATATCGTTGTTTCAAATGCATTCGTAATGCAATTTATTGGATGGCATTTACTTCTGAATGTTCAAGTTATTTGTGGTTCTTGTTGTATGTGCTTCAAAGAATGAGAGCAGTCACAAATAATGCGTGAAAGAATCCGCAGTTGCAGCGCAACTAATTTACTTTTCCGCTACGGCTTACGCAGTAAAGAGAAAGTATTGTAATTCTGCGGTGGGAAAGTGGCGAATTTTGGCAAGAAAAACTCTTATTGTTGGACCCCGGTAACGAAAAAGTGAATAAATCTGGTCATACAGTAAATTACATCCTCAACCGACCACAAAATTTAATTTAAAAAATTGGATCCACTTTTTAAAGTTGAAAATGTCTAAGGGGTTTCATTTAAAGTACACCCAAAATTAAAATATCGGTTTTAAATTCAAGAGGCCGCGACATCAGGCTGATCGATTGAGCAACATCAGTTTTACAGAAAATCGTCTGAACGGTTTATACCCTAGGGCTGTTGACAGACCGGTAGAGGGACGGACAAATGGACGGACAGACAGAAGTTTTGCTGTCAATCGATTTTTTGATGTATGTGACCCACAAAATATGGATCGTGACGACACGTTTTAGAAGAAGTAATTTACAATGATTAGCTGAATAGAATACAGTGATCTGATTAGTCACTTCGATACACCGTTTCAACTGATGATCTTTGACAACAAAGAAGTTATGTCTTATTTTATTAATGTATGTTCATGGAAGTTGTTCGTATCTGACAGTCGCGCGTGGCGAATTCAGACCATGTATTGGCGTGATTGTTTTACGAGGCTTTTCGAACTTTTTATTACGGGCAGGAACAAAGCTATCAAGTATACATTTATAATGCCATTAATGTTCCACAATATTTTCATGGTTTCAATATTTATCTTCACCAATTAAAACAGCGGTTTGAAGGACTCGAGTCATTGCTTTCTTCTCACAGTGGCGCTGAATCGTCGCTCTGGACTCCGGTTAACTTCTCCCTTCCCTTTCGTCTCCCTTCGTTCCTGCACTCAACTGCTTTCGCCCCTTTCAATTTGTCAGACGCACAGCGGCTTCATCTGGAAACGCAGAAGCTCTGCCGGCTCTCTCCTGTAGATGGCGCCCGTGATTCTTCTGGTGCTCCTCCTGCGCTTTATAATTGCAGCCGCCAGCGATGTTACGTCTTATGAAGGCTACAAAGTCTATCACCTAAACTACTCCAATGACGATCAGGTAGATACACAAAGTATTTTATTTTTTGAATGTGTTGTTGGAAGTGCGCGTTATAATAAGCGACACGCAGGTAATACCATGCGCAACCACAAGCTTTTCAAAATGTGTGAATATATTTACATTATGCATAAATGGAAACAAAAACGCAATTTTTTAATTTTCTCATTCTTTCGAAATGGAAACGTGGGTTTTTCAAATTTATCAAACAATGCGATGTTTTAGGTGTTTTTATTTCTGAATTTATTTATCGTAGAGATGTAAATGCAAACAATTGTATTCGTATTGTTATCATGTATATAAGGAAAAGTGCATGCTTTTAAAATTAGTTTGAGTCTCACTTTCTATATACCCTTTGCATGCCCACTTGGGCCGTCTCCTTGCGCCTCATTCCGCTAGATGCGAGGGTGGGAAGGGGTGTTCATTTCGAGGGACTGTGCCAAATCTTTGGCCCTTTTTTAGACACAAAATACTTTTAATTAGGCGGGAGCGCCCATTTCTACTTATCGGATTTGGTCAGCTACGCTTGTTGCCAACGTTTATTTTGAAGCTAATGTCGGCAAAGAAGTAAGGGCAGGGATTCAAAGTTCAAGAAAACTTGCGGATACAATACCATACAGCCCAGTATTTCCATGGAAATCTTGAGCGGTGTTTTAGAAAATGTTTTTATAAAGAGCATAATTTCAAGCACCAATAACACAAAAACTACTCGATTCAAAAATTGTGCACGATCTTTTTTCAAGAGCCGATGTTTTAGAACGGATTTTATTTAAAGCAAAAATCTCTATGTTCAATTTGGTGGGTTTAAAATGTTCAAAATTTGTATTTCTCAAAAATACAATGAGTTACTTGGAAATTAGCGTCACTTTTTTACCATCCTTTGATACACAATAGAAAATTTTTAAAAAATTGGAACCATATTTGGTCAAAATTTGTTTAAAAAATAAAAACTCTGCTCTATTTTACAGAAAATTACGCGAAAACTTTTCATATTTTCAAAATATTTTACATGACCTAATGTCAAGATCTGTCTTTAGAGAACACTTTTTATTCAGGAAAAAAATCAACGCACAAATAGATGGACAAACAAACTGATACATTGACACACATACAGGTAGAGAGACAAACAGATAGATAGATGGACAATAAGAGACCCGAGTGTACCGCTAACCGTAGGTACGGACAGCCGGCCGTGGGGATTGACAGCGATTCAAGTAAACCATCCTCTGTGTTCTCGCGGCAGTCGATTCCTTCAGCGTGGCCACGACCAGAGAAAAAGCCAACATCCGCAGCCGTCACAAGTAATTCGTAGTACGTGAGAACAATCTTGTCTTATCGCATCTTACCAAAATCGCTCGTTGATACTGTATTGGTAAATTAAACCTCCTATGCTAAAAGAACTTCCACAATAAATCACACAGTTTTTACCTTTTTTACTTGTAAAATAAACTAATAAAATGTTAACTCTAACAAAGTTAATTGTGACTTAATGCGTCTGTGAGCACGACGGCTCAGACCTGCTAGATACCTGTGAGGAATGGTAATTCTCGTATGCGGGAGGTATGAGATATGCGGATGGTCGTGAAGGGGGAAGTGGGGTGCGGTGTGAAGGTTTCTGATAGCTTAGTGGATTTAATATTTTTAAAAAGGAGTATTCTTTTAAGAAGGAAAATTACAGAATCATCACGAAAGAAGAAAGCGGTGGAAGAAAGCAATAAACTATGAAGAGAGATTGGAGAAAAGAGGTGGAAAGGCGATAGTGAGGAGTGCAGGAGGGAGAATAATAGAAAAGTACAAAATATTGTAAAGCGAGATAGTTTGCTGGAGAAGAGGTATGTAAGTAAAGGCAGTTGAAATTTAAAAGTTTAGGTAGCACATAAGGATAGGGATATAGGAGAGAGATGTGAAAAAGCGAGAAAGGCAGGATATAATTACAAAAATTAAATCGTTCTATAGCTTGAATGATGAAGGAATCTTGGAGCCGAGAGGAAAATAGAAGATTAAATGGATTTTGGTGGACTCGAGAATGGGTGTTGAGTAGAATATTAAAGAAGGAATTGCGTAACCGTGCGGGAACTCTCGCATGTTAAATTCCACCCTCTTCCATATCTTTCCTTTTTCCATGCTAAGAGGGGAAGTTGTTAACGAAACGTGTTTATTTGTTTAAAAAAATAAAACGAAACTTCAAATGTTCTTACAAAATTTAAAATTAAAATAAAGAACACTGAAATTGAGGTTTGCAACAAATTTAGAATAAAAGTTTTGTTGAGGCTGCGAAATATTGCTTAGATGATTCGAAGAGCATTAACTGCGACGAGAATATTTATGCATCGCCTTCTTTGTTCTCATCAGACGAGAGATTTCTGGAAAGAAGCGAAACGAATTGACAAAGATTATTACTTTGTCGTAAGAATCAATGAGAATTGAGGAGATAGTCATGGTTACCTCTGTTTGGGCGAATATAAACGTTCTCCTTACGAATTTCACGTCATTCATGCTTTCTGCTTTTTCGCTCCGAATCTCACAGCGCTGATTCAAAGATATTACACGGAAATTGCTTGCTGCCAACGTCCACCAACTGTCAATGCGCCCAATACGCGTATGCTTTGCTCTTCGGCACACATATTCAAGAATATTGTCCTGCAGATTGTGGCGTAAGCAACTTTCTTTAATGCCTTTGTCCTCAAAAGTTCAATTTTTAAGGTTCTCAGATGCTTGGAATACGAGTTATTTAACGATACAGATTCAAAACTCCTGACAAGTGCTGCGGGTTTCATTTTATATAAATATTTAAATGGTTTTATTAAACAAATTCTTCATATTTTTAAAGTCAAAATGCACGTCTCCATGAAATTCTCCTTCCTTAAGTACCTTGTTTATCAAGATTGATTACGTGTGAGAGCTACAAAAGGTGTATATACTACTGAAATAATATAGGAGACTATATTTAAATTAATTTTGTTATAAAAGTGAATCCAGCTTTCGAATATACAGTTTTAAATAAAAATTATTACTCATATAGAACTAAACTAAACTTTCAAAGTTTGGTGGTGACACAAATAATACATATAATATGTTCCCCACGCTAAAACAAAACAGTAATTCAACCTATATCTAAGATACCAAATCACATTCTAATATTTCAGTAATGAAATGTATATAAAATTGCATGTTACAAAGGGAAATGTGTGTTTGGTTGTTATCGCAGTTTAATGATTTTCACATTGCACTGCTGGACGATGTCCAAGTGGACTTTTGGTCGAAGGATGACGTGATGGTGAGTCCGAGCCGCCAAGAATCTTTTCAGAGGCAACTCAATGAAATGGACGTGGCTTGGAAAATCTCTATCGACAACGTGCAAACGTAAGTTTCGCTAACTCACAATATTCCGTAAAATATTGGAGAGAATAGATTCAAGTGTTGTTACTTATAGTCGATTTTTAAGGTTTATAGACGTGAATCAACAATTGATAAAATTATGTGTTATATCCAACACTGCGAGACTATGTTTTGTCTACTTTTCAAGGATAAAAGAAACAGAACGAATATACAATGTAAAAATTTAAAGAATTAGTATAAACTTTTTGTAAGAATGAATGTGTAATTCTTGTTATAAAAGATAAGAACTAGAAACAATGTACCCATGTGCATGCGAACACTTACCGGACATTCGTTGTAAGTATAAATAAATATGAGAAAATGTCCATGTACGAGGGCCATGTGAGAGAGGAACAAATACTAAATCAGTTTCATTATGGGACGATGTCAATCTCTGAGCACCTGTGCATGTCGACGTCTCCATTATGAATGGGATGAGCCTGTCGGCTACGCAGCTGCGAAAGGGCTGAGAAGGGAGGGAGGGGAAAGACAAATCGCTAGATGTGGAAACAGGTTTCTGCAGGTAACATCTAAATATGTCTATTGATTCTTGTAAGTAAATTATTATGAAGAGGCTACTTACAATTTGTGTGTACTTTCGATCATACTATTCGCTCTTTTATTTAGCTTTTTATGAACAAGTATGCTCTTTGATGTCAATATCGGGAAAAAACTTTCTTCGTGGTCAAAAATATTTACATTTTCGACGTTTATTTCATTATTATCATAATCATAATCCAATCAATGGTTCTGTAAGGGAGTTTCGTTTATTTTTTGATTCTCTAATTTTATGATTATGCTTTCTTATTCTTATACCGAGTTTCCTATTAGCGTGATGTCTACATTTTAAAAACGCAATCTTCTGATATACAATAACTTCTTGTTAATCTCTTGTTAATCTTTTGCCATTTTATCTTAATCATTACTAACTAATGACTTCCTACTGAAATTTTTATATGTGATATAGTACAAAAAACTACAAACGTCATTCTTCTATACATTTATTGACAATCTTTTGGCTTTGATTGATTTGTGGTTCCGAGTGCTAAGGTTATTAGTCCCGTAAGTGTAATGCATGTCATCTTATGCTAGTTAAAAATAATTTCATCAATTTACGTTTTTATATTTACATTCCTTTTTACCTAATTTCTGAGATGTAATCTGAATTTCCGGATATCCGAACAGCCCCGATCCCAGATGATCGGATACTGGATAATTGGCCGGGACCTTGTGCTGTTGCAGAGTTGTCCAAGAGGAAAAGGAGAGTCTGCAAAGCGAGTCCCGCAGTTTGTCTCGGGATAAGTTCCACAGTTACCAGGAAATGAAAGATTACCTACAAGAGCTGGCAACACTGTATTCCAACACAGTCTCCGTGGGCAGCATCGGTTCTTCGTACGAAGGCCGCGATTTGCCCATTCTAAAGATCTCCAGCGGAGGTGAGCACTGTATTTCGCTCAGTGGTATAAAATGTTAAAGAGTAATAAAGAGGACAGGCCAATTCTCGGAAAGAAAATTATGCCTTATGGAAACAAAGTTTGCTACAGCGTAACAAACTGAACATGTGTAGGTTCAATTCTTATGAAAATGACATAGAATAAAATGAGCTAAGAAAAATATAGGCGGTAGTCTCAAGAAGGGACTATAGACCTATAGAAGCTTTTATGTGAAATCAAAAAACAAAAGTAACCTACTAAACGTACTTTAGATTTGTTAAGCAAACAAAATTCATCTTTGAGAAGTCTAAATCAGATATCTGTGGTTTCTGCAATGCCTCTGAAATCAAATTGAAAAATAACTCAAAGATGAATACCTGTGTCAAAAAAAGGATTCACAAAAAGGGACTGTTTTCAGTCAAGAATTGAAGACAGATTTTATTAAAAAGTCGAAAATTAAAAGAAATTTCTTTCTAGATAATTTGACTACAGTCAAAACCTACCTTTGTCAAAGGGAAGTATAACATCATAGTTTTACAAAGGACTTCTATGACTATATTTAATATACTACATGTATATAAAAAAGATTCCTCTTATTTCTACAGATTCTTGGAATCAGAATCCAAAAAAGGTTAGACTTCTGTGGCCATATTTTCCTTTTATACACTCATAAAAAACTTCTATATTTTAAAACTGTGAAAAACCGTCTGATGGTTATGGAGGGCGAAATAAAAATTGCTGGCTTTCAAATAAGTATGAAGTGTGTGTAATGCAACGTTTTCCAATTCGAGAGCAATTATTTGGGGAGGCATCTATTCAAACCATATAGCCTTACCTAGATAATACAGACCCTTGCCGCCCAACATCATCATCTTCCATTCTTCTTTAAGACCACATTCTGATTTACAACTGGGAAGATGCTTTACAACCTTTCTTCAAGAAATCTTTGACTTCTGGAGAATCAAAATTGAGAATCCAGCAGTTTGTGATTCTAAAACTTACACGCTCTGGTGTTCTTTTTGCTACCAATACGCATTCACAGAGTTTCTAGCATTTTCAGTTTATGAACATTTGTTTACGTAAATTTACGTTGTGTCGATTCCTTGCGAACCAATAAGTATCAACGTAAATGATAAAAAGTCGTTATATGGATATTTACATGAAGATGAGAAATACTTTACAAACGGGATATATCAAACAATTCAAATAGTTTTCATTTTACATATTCACACAAGAAATAATGTGCATGTACGTTGCAGATTTCTATGTATTCGTGTTTCTGTAAATAATGTATTTTTGTGTTACCTTACGTATTTTAGTTATGAGTTAAATTAAAACTACTTTTTTATCTCCAGTAAAATATCAGGATATACTCAAATACGTGACTTGGAGCATGAGTCCTTTTTGCAGCTAAAGAGGAATTTCTCTAAGAAGGGACCACTTTGACAGGTCGGGAAACAAAAGAAAGTCATGCAGGGTGATGACATTACCAGAGACAGTGATCAGCTAACTGTAATTACGTTTACAAATCAGCTGACTGTAAACGAACTGACAAAATGAGCGCTTGGACGTAACATGCAGTTATATTGCCAGCAGTAGCTATCAAAACGGGACCCTTCTTACAGTAATATTCTCTACCACCTCATTAAAAAGATCAGTTCAATTTTCAAAGAAAGGTACCTGTTCAGCACAGGATCGTATAAACGGAAACAAGGACATGGAAGGTAGTTGGTGTTGGGCTTAAAGAATGTCGTCAATTTTGCAAATCTCAATTGGGAGCCTCCCCACGGACCAAGTGCGCCCTAGTGTGACACTTTTCGCGTTCATTGCGATGCCAGCTTTCCCCTCACTGACATTTTCCCAAATTACAAGAATTATTTTTTGATTCGTATGAGAAAAAATCCTGAACTATTTAAAGATTTTCAGGTATACCACAAACAATTCTTTTTTTTTCAAAGACTATTTTTACTTTCACTCCTAGGAGCATAGAGAGTACTATAAGCTGAGGGAGAATTGTTGGTTTTAGACACGGGTATTTTGATTTTTGGTGCTTTACGAGACCACTGATCATTTTCAACATTTTACCAAAAATGAATCCTGATTTTTCTCTAATTTTCCTTCTCTAATAGAGTAAAAGATGTGAAACGGCAGATCGCATTTTCGTTCAATTACCTGCAATTTCGAAAATTGCAAATGTTAAGTACATGTTACTGTAGAATCACTGGCTCTCTTCTGGCGTAGATCTTCCAAATTATTTACTAGCCACTTCCATGACGACAAGTATTCACTAAAGTAATACCAAAGAAAGCCTATTTTACTATTAGATATAAAATACGTATTGGTGCACTAAAAATCTAAAAAATGTCTTTGAATCCCTTGAAAATAAACTCTAAGGTGTTTCTGGATACGGTTGCCACCTCTCCGTGTTTGACCCGGAGTGTCCGGGTTTCGGAAGTATTCTCCTGGCTCCAAGTCATTGTGAAAAATCTCAGGATAATACGAGGAATTAAATTAGTCATTAAAAATAATCGGAATTGTTTTGCAGAAGTACGTGATGTGATGCGCATGCATGTGGGTTTTGTCTTCAACTCAAAGTCAAAAATTATGTGTCCAACACTTCAGTGTGAAAAACAAGATCCCGTATATCACATTAAATTCTTTCTCCTTTATAAAAATTATTATTGCAACAAATAATAATTTTCATTATACAAAATTTGAAATTCCATAATAAACTGCGCAAAAAATCTATGCATCTCAAAAGCCACCATGATGCTATGTAATGCAAGTCGAGTGCATGTCTTTTTTTCTCTGTAGGATTTTCTATAGGATCTCTATAATATTTAAATTTCGTGCCAAGATTGTGAATAACCCATAAAATATAAATTTATGTATTGGCATCTTGTGTCTACGATTCAACATCCGATTCAAAATCTCCGGCTCATGTGCGTTCTTTCAGGAGGTGGCGACCCAATTCCTGGGATGAAATGCAGACTAGCTGCAATTCTTATTCACTGCAGCGTCCGCGTCACTAGCTGCGTTCTGCTTCAGAAGAGGTTGATACAATTAACGCACTGGTATTCGAAAGTTAAAATATGCTCGTTTGTTTAAAAAGCGAGTCCTACATGGTTTAGTATTTACCCTTTTATGCGTGTTCCTTTTATTTATCAAATTATACTGCATTTTAGGGAAATTATAGCGCACAATTTGGTTTTTTAAAAGCTTACTTAAGGCGCCTAACAGGGGATTTTAAAGCCACAGAATTTGACCGTAGTATAAGACATCTCCTTAAGATTTTACTGGTTTTTAGGGCAATCAAATCATGTTAAATGATTACAATTGCACTTGGTGTCTCTTCAGGCGACGACACTCGGCCAATCATCCTCATCGACGCCGGCATCCACGCGCGCGAGTGGATCGCGCCCGCCATGGCCCTCTACATCATCCAGCAGCTGGTGGAGAACCCGTCCAACGCAGACCTCATCGCCAACGTCGACTGGCACGTCATCCCGCTGCTCAACCCCGACGGCTACGAGTACTCGCGAAAATCTGTAAGACAACGTTTTCCTCAGTCGTCAGATAACGGAGGGGATGGAGATCGACACCTTGAAGGGACTGCCCTCGAGGGAAAGACATTATTAGAACATTTACAAAAAATCGGGGAACAATTTTAACCTACGGTATGTTTTTTCAATAAAAAATGTAAAATTTTGAATGTTGAAGTATTACGCATTTGTTCGGAATAAAAAAACTAATTTATAATTTCCATTCTAAATATCGGTTACTTAGAAGGTTAGTACAAAATTATATTAAAATTAATTAACATCATTGTTTTCCTTATATCATAGTCTCTACCACGCAATTTATATCCTTTTATCATTTATTAACGCTAATAAAAAAACAAGAATGTGCCACATCTGAAACGCGAGATATCTGATAGAGCAAATTTCAGTGGAAGCTAATGTTTACTAGAGATCAAGAATTATCCAAGTAGTATGGTAAGGAAAATTAGATTTCACTGACAGGGAAAACCATGTTTCACGGAGTCTGGATAGTTAAGTGAGCCATTGTGAGTCCCCGCAGGCCTCCAAAGTGCAAAAGGATCCCTCCAGAGGGCAGCACAAGGCGCAGTTGGGGGAGGGGCGGAGATTCCCCCCCAAATGAGAGAATGGACTGGTTGAAAGTGTGTGACATACGCGCCCACCAGATTTTTAAAACCTCGGAGAACCAACTATGAGGACAACGATTATTAGCCATACGGCGTGGGAATGTGTATGTGCTAACCACACGTACCCCCTTAACCCATGGCCGCGAGGCAGGGACGTCGTGGCTAGGCCTGAGCCCGTTCACGGGCTGTCGCGCCAAGAACGTACATACATAAATACATACAATATTTGAAAAAAGAAAAAAGAAGTACACAGCATAAATGAAACCATCTTTTCTGTTTGCTAAATCAATTGTAGAATTGATACAATAAAGCTATAAATATTAGCCAATTGTGAATTAATAAAAATAGATTCGTCGAAATTGACCGATATTGACCGAAAGGTTTCTCACTGCCGTTCGTGATAGGTATTCGATCTATGCACTTTTTCACAAGTCATGACCGACAAGAGTTGCTAGAGAAATTGTACTGTTCTGCCCAGGTATACTTGCAGTGTGCTGCATTGATGCGAAGAGCTGATTATGGCGCTGGCGAAGACATCCCGGGGTCTAGGACGCAGGGATACCGAAGCTGCTAGAGTTCTTAGTGCAGCCGTGGCAAAGGAAGATACAGATTCAGAAAGTTCACATTGTACCCACACAGTTGTAAAGACAATCACTTATCGCATAAACTTTGATTGGTTACTATCGCAGACATCATGAATGCGCAGGCTTCCGCGGCCGGAATCAGTATCCACATGGCTATACGGGAGAAGCCGTGTCTGCTGACCTCATCACGTTGCCGTATGTGACTAGGACGCGGCGTCTCCTGGACAACCAAGTAAATTCCTGACAATGCCATTCAATGCAAATGGTTATTGGCGTTACCGCCAGCACTTTGACGCACTTCCAAACAAGACGCCTACGCGATGCGCAAAGTTCACAGCCTGTGCGTACATCGCAATTACTAATGCGCTGGGCGGGCATAAAACGTCCGAGCCGATAACATTGACAGTCTCGCGATTACGAAAAATTCCTGCAACGCAGAGCGCCACTGCGCTGCGTATAAAGGTGGCTCTACAATGCGATATTCAGCAAAGAGCGAGCGACCGTGCGCCGAGTCACGAGGACGGTGGATGAGTTGCTTGATATTTGTCGAGTGAGAAACACACAGAGCTCGCCCTGTCGGTCTTTGGAAGCGAACATTCGCCGAGCACTTCAGCTGTTTGGCATTGGGCGAGCAGTCCTCGCTGCACGGCGAATGCCGAATTTGTGGACCCACCTTAACACGAGGCGGCGAAGGGGGCGATGGGGACGGTGGGG